TTTTAGCTATGCAATCAAGTTATGCATGTGTTATAACCTATAGATTTAAAATAAATTCAGCTTTTGACATGTTATGGCTATAACTAAAGCAATGATACTACGAAAACTCAGAAACCATCATTTTGATTGAAGCCTAGAAGTATAAGTTGGTAAGTTATGTACTTACAGCAATAAATACTTAATAGCCGTCTACAAAAAAAATATATACGAATATAAGTATATAAGTTAGAACTTGAAACTCATAATTGTACTGTTGGTCATAGAAGTTTGTTTTTATAAATTGTCTACTGTAAAATGCTTAATCAAGTAAATACTGAATTTTAAAGTAGTAAAATCGGTTATGTTCAAACTGTCTTTAATGTGTTTGAATTTTGCTGTATAAAAATAAAAAATAACTAATTGAAAATCGAAATTAGGTAATTAAACTTTATATTACATAAACGAGCACTGTGCTGTAATAAAATGCGTGGCTTCTGAATACGTATTATACATATTGTTACATATTATATAGTAGTAATGCATGAACAATCGTGTAAAGATATCAAAAACAGATACGTTTTGCGTTTAAACAAACAAATATGTACATTTGTGCAGTCTATTCATGAAACTAAGTACAATGCCTCCGAGATTTCGTTTCGTAAGCTATTGTGTGGTTTTAATATAAATTCAGGTATTTAGCTCATTCGAACGTAATCGGGCGATTATGTAAGATGTATAACGAAAACTTCACCACAAACTTGTCTATTGGCATAAAACTATACACCGCATTCCTATCGGTTATCGTTAATGTTGTCTTGCATCAACGTTTAAATACTCTAGTAAATAGCAATGGCCTTTGAATGGATGAAGGATGAAGAAAATCCGACAGCAGTAATCCCAAACTGTCTCGCGATAGAGATAGTATAGATATATTAGCGGAAGAGGCGACGAGTACGCGCAGATAGATGAAATGAAGCGGAAAAGGGCAAAGGGGAGAGGAACTACAGGGATTTAACTTCTGCTTGATATATGACAGTTGTCGTATGTTTTCAGAATCCCTAAGACATACGCCTCCCTAGTTACGACCAATTATTACGACTTATACAGCACTATAATTAGCGCAAACATGTCGCCAGTTGGAAATTTATGACTTGCCAGCGTTCGGCTATTATCTAGATATTGTCCGCATTCGTGGGACTTTCTTATCGGTTCGGCACATTAATTGACATGCACCTATTTAAAGCGCGGTTAAAATTACATTTATTGGTGACATTTAAGTTGTTGTGTTCTACTCAATTAGAATAAATAATTACAATATAAATATTTAATCTGTATTCTGTGAGTTTTATTTCTATCGGGGACTGGACAATGTGACTAAATTTAGTAATTCACATGAGAGGCGAAAATATTTTTATTTTGTACCTATTTATTTTTAATCCCAGATTTTTATTAGCAATTGAAAATGGTTTGGCCTAATTTATATTTATTATACATGCATCAGTTTTTTTAAGTGTTTATACGTATTTTTTAAATGTTTATATTATAGAGTTAATATAAATTTATCAGTTACAATTGAAAAACGAGGATAAAATTTACATTTTAGAATTTGTGAATCTACTTTACAAAGTATTAATTGTCTTCTATTGTACATACCTAGATTTACTAAAAAATGTTTTAAAATTACATTCAGACGAATACATAAATACGTATTTACATCATCGAAACATGTGACATTTTTTTTTGCCTAAAAAAGTAGTAAGTATAATACAAAAAGTTTGTATTTTGCGGCTGGTTGACAATATTTCTGGTAAAATAACACAACAACGAAATGTCAAACAAGTTTTTTCAAGTTTAGATTACAAAATGATATTCAGACTATTATTCTGTCGTCGATATCAAATATAATATTGTTATGTCAGAATTTTCAATCATAGAAGTTTTTAAAAATAAATACATATATTGTAGCATTACCAAAGGAAAATGACTTCATACTTAGCCAGAGATTTAGAGGGGGCAGAATAAAATGCGTCCCCAGGGCCTATACAGTTTTTGGGCTCACTTATCACTTATCAATACTAAACACAAAGTAAATACAATTTTTTTTTGTTACGTAAGTGCTATTGTTTTGTTACTGATTTTAACAGATCAGTTATGTTAGTGTGATGCAAAATCGTTCATCTCGTAGTACTCGCATTCGTTTTAGCTAATTAACATACTCCTGACACAAAAGTTGCCTGAGAATTTTGTCGTATGTCTTAAATCGATTTTCTACACAATTCCAGAGCAATTATCTATAAATGTATTGCGTGTATGATCGACGGTAATTCTGGCGGTACATAATTAGTACCTACGTTTCTAATTTTGCTGGTGCCCAATACTGATAAATATATTATTCACATGAATTGATATACAGCTGGTCGAATTTAAACTAAAAGGTATATCGGGTAACGGAAAAATTTAACAAAGGTATAAGACACTAGGCAGGCATTGTGTGATTGTTATTCCGGGTTGGCGTCTTGTTCAACTTTTATCCGTGTACATAACCTGACCGGGTCACGCCACGCAATGCTCAGATATGAAGTTTTGAAAAGTCCTGAAACTTTTTTTTTCGCTATAGGGACGCAGGTTTTTAAATGGTTGTCTAATGAGATTTGAATTATACGTCTATTATGAAAATCGTATTCCCTCGACCGCTACTCTTTTGAGTTGGTTTCATTCGCATATTATGAAAAATGATTATGTTACTATAATATCCTTTGGACTTATCGCATGAGATGCGATTAAACATCAACAATGAACTATAATAACCAAGTATATGAATAAAAAGAGTTTGTATAATTTAATGCATAGTATAAACTATAAAGCCATGTTCCGGAACAAAGACTAGATTATGCATATGAAAATGTTACACGTTAATTTTGTAAATGTTTTTTTTTTACTAGCATGATATGATATAGTTGATAATAAATCACATACTAAGTTGACAAATGGGTTTTTAGTTGAAATTTCAATGTACAATTAACGTAACAGTAAATGTTTTATTGTTTGTAACTTGTAACGTTAAGTTGTATGTAAAAAAAAATATCATTGCCAAGACCTGTCAATCTCGCTAAATTAGGGAACCGTTTTTAAGTAAATTTAGATCTTTGATCATCAGGATATATATTTTGTGTTAGTTAAATTTTTGAATTATAATTGATACAGTTAACATTATCAACACAATAAATGGTATTTGTGTGATTATATTTTTTCCGATCATTTCGTGGATGGTCAGTTAAGCTCCGCTTAAGATAATAAAAATAAAGAAAATACTAAAAAAAACACCGACAGTATTTTTACGGAAAGTCTGAGGCATATATTCCGATGAAAAGATATCGCTGTTGCCAAGGTTTGGCATCGATTCAGAAACCAACGCAAAAAACGATTTTTCAAATGTGAATTTTCCCTTCTTTCCATTAGCCGGCACTTTTGTCATTAATTTACACCGGTTACAGCTGCTGCTTTATCGTGCCACGTGGATTTCATAGCTGCCCTGTTTCTTCTTCACGGCCTCCTCTTTTTATTCTCTATGTGGTTTTCTATTTCCTAACCCCTAGTTTTTACCTTTCAAAAGCTTTACGAGACCTGGCCACATTTTGTAAGTGTAACCTATCCGTTCCTAAACGCAATAGATCACTTTAAAACTGAAGGTTCGTGTTACCGGTATTTTCGTAGATTCTATGAAAAACTTGACCGTTATTTTCTTTAGGCTTCAACTTTCTCTTGTTCACTAAAAACTCATACTTATTCAGTTATTACTAATCAATTAGAAAAAAACATATTTTGATTTCTTATAATCGCGTTACTTACAGCACTAATGGCTAACGTTATAAAATGTGTTGTACACGGGGAAAAAAAGATAAAGCAGTTTTATAATAGTAAATATATTTAATGTTGTTTATAAAACTTCGTTAATATTTTACATAAAAAGTTATAAAAGAATTTTGTTAGTACGCTTTAGCCAGTTTATCGAATGGTTTAATTTTTCAATTTAAAAATAAGATCATATTTTGTTGAAAATGTTATGAATAATGTGTACAGAAGATATTGTTCTTAAATAGGGATCAGTATAATAGTAAACAGAATTATAAAATTATAATCGACAGAAATATATTTTAATATTTAATGTTGTTTGCCTGATAAAAAATGTAAAGTAGGCGACTAGTTTTTTAATAACATAACTAAAATTCATTGTAAAATATGATATATTTAAACTTTTTGGTTTTAAGTATTGTTTTAAACCTATTATTAATAAGTATATTAAAATTTTTTTTTTCTTGTTATACATTAATATCCAAATCATTATTCAATGAAATTAATTATTAAAAAAATAATATCAATACATTTTCATGCATTCACAGTTATGAAGAGTAAACGTTAATAAAAAGGAAAATGTTGGGGTAGTAGAGGTATTAGAAAAATGCGAAATAATATAAGAGAACTCGAGGTATTTGAATTAAACGTTCGATAAAAATATTTAGTTATATAGCGAATGGACGATTACCAGGCCTTCCAATAACTTAAGTTTTTTTTCTTCAAACACATTAAATAATCGAAATTGCTTTGCAATTCGAATACGTGGAATGCAGATCGATTTAAAATGTCATTTCATACAAATAGAATTACTCCGAAATAATCGTTTACTATAAATGCAATCGAATTATTATAAATTTGTTTTTTTGGTAGGTAATTAAATTGTTCGCTTGTTATCTAACTAAATAATTCAATATTTTCCATCAATATTTTTTAAAATCTTGGATGTTTGTTTTATGCTCGGTGTTGTATGTTTCAGCTTATTGTTGTGATGTAAGTCTTAGTAATACGTTGAAAACGTTGTTAATCTTAAGCTACTCTTAAGTTGTCAAGTAACGTTCGTTAATGTATTTATTGTGTGGTGGTATAGACACGTTGTAGATTGTTCTCTGCACAGTGCACTTGTGTTAAATTATAAGTAAAAATATGTATCTAAAAATATGGCGTACCTGAAATATCGGCAAATCCGTGAACGACACAGAAACACCATATCCATAGGGCTTGAAGGTGTACCATACGATGCACTTTTGCCATACCTTGTTTTCAATAACGTATAGTATGCGTCATTTTCTGAAACACGAACAAAATGTATCACATTTTCATTTACTTTATAACATTAGTTTATTAGAATTAGTATTTATAATACTACTGTTTTTATCATGTACAATGTACTTATATGTATTGTACAATGTAATGAACAATGATATTGTAGTTCGAGTACAATAAAATAATTATTAAATTATAATAAAGGTTATGCATAGGACGTTGGGGTTTTTAATGACATCTTGGTAAAAATCTGAGTGATTTTAGTATACCACATGTAAGATATATATTATATATTTATATATGTATACGAGTAAAATCTGTTTAAACTAGCTCATCTAGTCTGACCCATATCAAGTTTTTGAGCATGGGTCACTATATACTTATAATATCAATAATAATCAATAAATACCATCGGTTCCTATAGACATTGATTGATTGCTCTCTTTTTACAAATATGTATATATTTTTTTATTAAATAGTTGTTTATACTTATACCAAGTTTAAACTTTAAATTAGTTCACATTAGATGCTATGACGAAAAATGTGAGAAAGGAATTTAGTATAGAAATGGTTGTACACTATATATAGGTTAATATGAAATGCACATTTACAGTGTAGAAACTTGAAATAATAGACTATCTGCCAGTAAATTAAACTACTTGGAATTACCTTATAATAGATTAGTAGCAATACATAATATTGTTATTCATTAAAAAAAAAAAATGGTTTCTTATTATCAAGAACATATGTGAGAATTTAAAACTGTTAAAATTTAATGAAATTTAAGTATGAATTTGGAATATTTCAGGCTTTGTAAGAGTGAGAGGTAGTTCTTATTTGATTCCATATAAATTTCCAACTATAAATTTAGTGTGTCTTTATATTAACCATAATTTTATTTGATCTAGTTATATATTTTCACCGTGTTGACTTCTATGTCAAAACGTTAAAGATAAAATAGTATTTGTAGTCACAATATTATGATGTTTTCTACATTTTGGAAACATGTATTAATATACCTATATTTATAGTCGGTGAGTTTACTATGTAGAAATCAGATAACATTTTTTTTTGCTATATCTTTAAATGAATCGTGGGCCGACAAAAATATCAATACAATTTATCAGTTAATATAGACTTAAAGGTCGTCAAGGGAATTGTGAAGTTGTTTTTACCTTAATAAATAAATCCCCGATAAGAACATCTCCTGTATTTTTTAAAATGTTATTCTATTTTTGCTAACATCTGGAGAACTTTTTTTCACGACTCATCTAACGGGTTTGTCTCGTTTTGACACAACAGCGACTAGTGCTAGAACAAAAATGTCATCGACAATGCAACACATGAGTGATGATCGGGTCATTGACAACGACCTGGTGGTTTTTCCCTATGGATGTTACACTAACAAATACATTTATTCTGATGTCATATCTGACCTCATCAACAAACGCCTAAAAATTCCCTAGGCGTATTGAGTCTGAAGAAATATTTTCGATTTTATTTTCATCCACCGATCAAAAAATAATAACATAACCCACATTCCTATAAATTGCTTTTGAAAAAATTCTATAATGATATATAATAAACACTAGGAAGTCAGTATATGAGTTGAATATAAATTGCTTTTTGAGAAGTCAAAAAACATCAACGAGAATAAAAACTTACTCTAAACTTCTTCATTTGTACTCTTTAAGTTTTACCGATATCATTTTGCCGTATTCATGGAAATAATAAAAAAAACTGAAAACTTATAATATAGTGTAAATCGTATGAGAGATATATCTATATATATATAAGTTCTTAATAAATAATATAAATGTTTATTTAGAAATAAATTTCCCACTATTTCTAATATTAGTTTATTAATTTTTAATGTCCATGATTTTTATGGATACTTTTTAACAGTAGTCAATGTTACATCCAAAATATGGTTAGGTTACGTTATAGCTACGGTATTTATTAGACAAAGAGTTATTTGTTTTTATTGAAAACAAGTAAACATTTTTTAAACAGAATAAATATTTATAAAAAAAACACCATGCCAAATTGTTATCATATCATAAATATGCTAATAATGTCAAAATATTTTAAACGCAAGTAAAAGAATTCAGAACAAAAGAGGCAAACCATAAATTATTTTAGTCATTGCTCGAGTCATATAACATAATTTATCGTTCACACTAGATGTTATTCTGGTTATTCAAACAATTCGGGTTTCTAGGAAATCGTTTTCACAGTGGGTTTTGTGTGGGTATCTTTGTTGTGTATTGTTAACTAGCGCAGTGCATATCCGGTCGGTTTCTTTAGGGTTGTCTGAAATTATGGGGCTCACGTATAGCATCAGTGCTGCTGCATCTAGAAATTTTGGGACAGGGGTGAAAAATGAAAATCGGGATCCCTTCTTAAGAAATGAAATAATTCCTAAAATATATAGTCTGTATGTAATTATATAAGTCTTATATACAATAGCAAGTCTACGCATGTGTATGTATGCAATTGTGTTCTTGGAGCTTTAGAGGTCGAGTATTGATTTAAAAATTATAGTTTATTTTTGTATCTATTACTATCTTGTTTTTATTTTTAATACACATTGAAATCATTGGTGTTAGCCGCAATCCAAGTAAATTTTTCTTAAACAACATATTAATATTTTTAAACTTGCGTGGTGTATTACTATTGTGCTTAGAGTAAGATTATACCAATGTTTATTATCGCATATAATGTATGCATCATACTCTTCTTACTAGACATTTATCATAGATAATGAATATTTTTGCTAGATTACTGTTTATAATATACCTATGTAGATTTTGCTCGTGATTTATTTATGATAATTAAACCATCCCATATTCCATTGCCATTGTTATTGGACTTTTAAATTATTTTAGTCTGTCGGCGATAGTTTCTCAGATATTTTCCGGACGGACGTGTCAATGTTGCAAAAGTTGTTTTAGCAGCTAGGTGTGAGTGAACCCGTAGGCAGACGATATTAGTTTTAAAATCGAGAGCACGGGTTATGTACTTTCAGGGCTACTTTCCCACTGGAGTTGTGAACTAAAAGTATGAACATAAATCTTATTTCGTGTGTGGTATTGCTGAAAGTCTTGGCCTGAAAGTCTGGTAGAGCTAATTTTCCTTGGGTATACTTGCCTCTGTCGCCGCTGGATCCCGCCGTCGAGTTGCTAAGAGAAACCGTTCCAGTCCGGCGAGCAGCGAGCACAAAGTCTATTAACAATGTTTATGTTGTCCTAAATAAACACTAGTACACACACACGCGCGCGTGTATTTGAGTAAATGGCTTAAGTCGAAATTATTGATACAATAAAAACAAAAAAAAACTGTACTAGTCTCCGCAATTGCGTTTGTCGTGGCATTAGTTTGTTCGCTGCGCTTGGGCTTTATACAAACACACAGCGGCGCATACTTACGTTATTATTATGACTGTGTTTATATGCGATCGTTGTAATTCGAAAACAATACCGTCTTCGATTGAAACAAAACGGATTATACCATATTATCATTCCGACCGGTTATAGGACGGCTGTACGATTTTTTGCCAACGTCATTTTGATTTGACACGGCGCTCCGTGTAGGCATTTTCGCTACATCACTGCGTGCGGATCATTGTTCAGTATTCGCAGTAAAACATCATCGAGTTGGAGCACATTCATTGACAGCACCACAATCACCGAGCCCCGGATACGGGCCAACAATAAAGACATCAATTTTACAGCGTTTAACCCAACCATATATTACGATAAATTAAGGAAATATCCCCGTTGAAAAACGCGATAAGTGTGTACATCATAAAACAGTTGTGTTTACAATATTATAACTTGAAGTTCACACGCTGGTTACAATCAACATTGCCCGCCTATTTTCGTGGATGTTATTTTTTGTTTCACGTACCGAGCTCCTTTTTGTTAGGTATTTAACATATTTTAAAGTCGCCAATACAAGATAGACAACGGCTAGCGACTTAACTATTTGTGTCGTGCAACGTAAACGAGTCAACTTAAGCTTGCATGTTTAATTCGATTCTCGGTTGTTTTGCGGTTTAATGCTGCCGTGAGTTATATTACAATATTATGCTATTTGTCTTAATTGCAATGTCTGCGAATACAAACAACAAGTTTAAACAATATGAACTGAAATTTATAAAACTATTATACTATCACATTATTAAACTAAACACAAATATTCACTAAGCGTTATCAAAAGTTTTATAGAATATTGAGCATCGTGTTGACTGTTGTTCTATATGAAAACTCGATTAATGAAAGTTTTGCGAGTAAAAGCAAAAAAATAAAGTGCATTGAATCATTGTTTTAATATTTATTTTTTATTTTTGCGTGAAGATAATAATATAATATATTAAAAGCACAAATGATAAATGGCTTTTAATAACAGTAGTTCATGTAATCCTCCACTTATTATTATTAAAATTTATTTTTAGTTTGACGTAAATAATATATATGTATTTTTTTTTACAATATCGTCGTGTTATAATTTATTGCAAAAAAAAAGTGTTTTATGATAGATAGCTTATACCTATAACCTAAATACCTATATATTTATGTATGTGTGTGTGTGTGTATTGCCCACGTATTGGAGATCAACAATATAATAACATACCGTGGTATGAACGTAATACTTAAAAACTAAAGAAACTGCCACTAAGATAACTGCTACTAAGAAAGCAATGCATTGTTGTTGGTACGGTAATTTCTTGAAACCGTGCAAGATTGGTACCGAAATTATTGCAGTTATATTATTAGTTTTTACATACTTTTGATAAACAAAGTTGTCTTTTTTTTTACATTTTTAAATTTATTTTTAATAAGTAAATAATAAAATGTAAAAAATATCATACTTGTAAAAACTATTAAAAAAAAAAAAAAAGATGGAAATATTAATCTCAATTTGATAAACAATGTGGGTCATATGTTGTAGCAAATCGTTTGGTACAATAGTTAAAAAATAAAATTAATTTCACTGGTTTTCAGTTTTCAATAATGCAATTT